AAAAAGTCCGCGACAAGGTACATGTCTATCTTGTGAGATTAACTTGCCAAAACGACGGGACGCGTACGACGTCGTGGGTAACAGCTTATAATTGTAGAGTTGAACAGGAGGCTTGCAAGAACAAAAATTACTATTCTACGCGTACGAAGTCGCTCACTCAGCTGGTGTATATCACCAACAATCAATGTAAAACAAGAAATAAAAAGGCTTATTATTAATATTTACTGTGCTTATTGGAATATTTCAAACAATATAACGTCACTTTCCATGTGTGAAAAAAAAATCAATTCAACTTAATTCGAAAATAGAATTTAAAATTCTACTGTCGCAAACGGAAAAACCAATGAATACCTCAATATTGTTTTTACAAAGATATTAGACAACACTAGCTCCTAATTAGTCTTACTAATACGGTAATTAGGTAAATGAAAGGATTACGTTTAGTAATTATTATAAATGATCTATTTAATGAATGAGAAGTTCATAGTCTACCTAACTTCGCCAAAACGAATTTATAATAATTTACCAAATAACTAAGTTTGATAAGAAACAATAGGACAATCTATACATCAATATGTTATTTTCGTGTTCAAGTATTTCTAGATTAGCTTACGTGGCTGTATGTCTTCGAGTACCCAGAACGGGATTAACCAGCGCCATATTTAAGCTACGGTATTTTCCCTTTACTCTCTAATTATCCTCATTTTAGAAAAGATTAAATATAAATAAAGTAATGAATACTTCTTTTTCTAGATTAATTGAGGCCGCTAGAACCAGAGCAGCCTAACTGCGATTTTATGACTTGACTCATTTATATTTTTACAGTTTAAAAAATATGTTAATCTACAAGAGCACAGTGACCGAAAATTGTTAACATAATACCGTCTATAGTTTACGCGAGTAGTACACATTTAAATAAAACACTTTAACGGTTTAAAACGCGATATATTCGTTTAACTTATTTGAAAATGATTTCATCATTATATCAAACTAATATATCGCGTTTTAAACCGTTAAAGTGTTTTATTTAAATGTTAACGTAATTTTTAAACAAATAATAGTACAAATTCATTTTCACCTAACTTAATTGCGCATTTTTATTTTCCTCCTTATTGAAAATCATGGTTATTAGGCCACTTTGGCTCTAATTTAAATAAGACCCCTCTGTTGATGTCGAAACGTCGGGTTGTGGTTTAAATTTAAATATTAGTCGAGTTTTTAACTTACGTAATGTTATCTGAAATTACTGATTCTCAGCAGTTATAACCAAATCTCAATATATGGGAGCATTTGTGTGTTTCATGTTTCAAGTAAACATTGAAGCGATAACGGAATGCTTTCAGTGTGTCATAAATGAGAATCCCCACGTTTTAGTGATAACGCGACAGACTTATCTTATCCAGATAGAAGCCAAACTATGCGGAAATTTAGGTCTATGTTATCATCTAAACAAAAGTCTGATTCCTTAGTGATAGTGGTATTTTTCTATGATATAATAGTAAATACAAAGAAACGACTTATTAAAATAAGTTGCCAACATACCACTTATAATGAACCACGATTCGGGTTGGTACAGGACACATATTTGAGTCTACATTTTTAACCCCCGTTTTTTTATTAGATTGCACCTTCAGCAACTTTAACCAAAACTCATTCATACTGATTGATAAGACAAACGTTAATTTCTATTAATATTTGATTGCCACAAAATCGGGTTTGAATATATCTTAAAAGAGACACATACTGACGCAAACATTTTTTAGATGAATAAATAAGAATCATTATTTTATGTTTTTGCAGCGCGTGCAACGGAGGCCCTCAGAGATATATAAACTTCCCTGTTATCTCCACACTTTCCACCGTTGCTTCGCTCTTCTTCGTCGCAACATTTTATAAGCCTACCTCGATAGATTTCATTTTATAAGCCTGCCTTGATAGATTTGGACGATTCAACCAACACAAAACATTTTTTCAACCAGTAGTTCCTGAGATTAGCGCGATCAAATAAACAAAATCTTCAACTTACTTAGTATAGATTCATTTCCTCATAACACAGGAACAGTCTGCATACAGGTCATATCTAATCACGGACTGAAATGACCTCCCTCGAGGAAAGTTTTATTTAGACGTTGAAATCACCAATCTGGCATTTAGCTTCATTTCGCAGAAAATCATAATAGAGTTTTATAACGGTGCTTATATTTTACAGTTAGTTATAAATACTATTGCACCTTTATAGAAATCTTCGCGTTCTTACAAGACACATAGTATGAAAAACGATGAAGTAAAAAGATAAAAAAGGCAAAAAGAATTTTAACGGTTTAAAACGCGATATATATTAGTTGAACTTATTTGAAAATAATTTCAACTTATGCCCGACGTTTCGGACGCTTTGCAGCGGCCGTGGTCACGGATACATCGCGTTTTAAACCGTTAAAGTGTTTTATTTAAATGGGTACTTGTCGCGTAAACTACAGAGAGAGAAGTACTAATTTAGTATTGTTAATTGTTATGAAGAGTTCAACGAGTATAAATTTCAGACGGCTAGGGTTGCATTAAATCAAGATGGCTGTGAAATTGCTGCTGCTAAAGCCAGCTGCCAAACCCGTTTGATTAGAAGAAAGCTCAATATACCAAATTAAAATGTATAGAATCTATCGCTATAGAACAACGATCGTCACGATTATCTGAACTTACTTAGGCCTTTTAAGTAAAACACTTAAACGGTTTAAAACCGCGATATATTAGTTAAACTTATTTGAAAATGATTTTTAACTTCCCGGCGTTTCGTCGCCGACGTCTCACCGTGACCACGGCTGCTGCAAAGCATCCGAAACGTTGGGCCGAAGTTAAAAATCATTTACTTAGGCCTTTTTGTCTGTAAACACGTTGCTTATATCTTTCGTAACTATGAGTCTTATTTTCTAACCTCCCCCCTTACTGGGTAAAGTGTCGTAAGCCAAGGAGCGAGAGGAATTTTCCATTGACCTATGGAAAATTACTGGAAGTGTGAGTAATTTTTCAGTCGTATCCTGCGTGCTCATTTATCACCTATCAGCGAATTGCTTCAGGTTTGTCGTGCTTAGGACTTTAGGAGCATCCTGACTGAACTTCGCACTAAAAGGAGGGCAGTGACGTCGACCTCGACGTTTTGAATCCTATCAATAGCACGGACGCATGCGCACAACTGTGCTTGTGTGTGTGTACGTCTGGGCTGAGCACGCGGACCGTGCGTGCACTAACACCATCTCTTTCTTACCTATAACCCCGTCCTTGTTCTTCGCTAGTTCATGGGGAGGACGGATTACTCAAGTTTAAAATACCACCGATGTTGCATTAACCCTCAGTCGTGTCTGAGTTGCGCTCCTGTACGTTTGACTGAAATTTAACTGTGCGTGTCGCTGTGACTTTAAAAAAAAATTACAGTATTCAACTTGGACAGTCTAGACGTCTAGTAGCTGATTTTTGATTGATTATTGGTAAGTTCAGGTCTTGAAAGAACACATTACTTTAAAGAGATATAAAACCTACTTTTATATTATAACATGCTACTGGCTGAAGTTAAAAAAGAAAAAAATCAAAAATTGATTAGAAATTTCTACTAACATCTGGAGTTCTTAGCTAGCACAGCAAATGGCCGACAATACAGTTGTGGGCGCCGCTTTCTCTCTCGTTAGTTCGCATTAAGTCTAATCACTTTCTAACGGTTAATTGTATTAAATGTTTGTTTATCCACCGGCTTCGTAAATGTTCAATTTGTATATTGTTTTCCTGTTTCCTATCAACATGACCTATATTTAGATTCTCAATTCTATTTTGGAAACGGAATTATTTGACTGAAAATTTGTGTTCGAAATTCAAAACGAATTTCGGAAAATTATTTTTTTAATAAGGAATATAAAAGCGGAGAGAAGGGAACACTTGCTAGAAATTTGAACTATTTTTATTTTCTACCCTCATTATTCCAAAAATATTAGCCTCTCAAAAGTACTGTTCATATCCTTCGCATACCTTGAAGCTGTAAACTTCTTTTTGTCACATAAACAGGTTTCATCTGTTTTACCTGTCCCCTTCCTTTTTGGCGAAAGAAATTATACCTGCTCCTTTCAAGGTAACTTTGGCTAGCAACTTTTATTTAACTGCAATTGACGATTAGAGTAAAATAAACACTTGTTTAAACACCATTTTACTTAAAATACTGAGCACCTTAATTTAGATAGTAGTAGTAAAACAAGATGTCCAACATCTTAGGTAGGTAGTACTTGGTAGTATTTTATAATATGAGGTAAAGTTCTAAAAATCTTATCTTCTTATCTTTACTCGGTTTCATTGATTTGTCTGTCGCGTAAAATTATGTAGCTACGTGAACTGCGTATTTTTGTATCAATGTTGACCTAAATAACAAAGTTTGATATTGGCCCCATAATTTTTCATTTCAATGCTGTCTCAAAAACAATTTATTTAAAATAATAATTAGTATATTTCCAAAAACTGAAAAACCGGTATCTACATTATTTTCTATGCATAATTATCAGAGTAATTATATTGTAATTAAAATTTAAATATAAATTAAAACGTTTAAGTCATGTTAGCCATTTACACAAGACGTACACGTTAAATAAGACACGTTCAACAGTACCACGTTTTTATGGAAGTATAATAGGTATAATTTAGTCTGAATTTATTTAATTCAATCATCCAAAAATCATGTAAAAAATATTTAGATTTTTTGGGTTTTAAATGTACGTTTAAACTATAGACAACACTTATGATGACTTTTTGTCTATGGACGGTGGTTCATGACCCGGAACGTCGATATTCCCGTACCTATTTATTATCCAGATTTCCAGCCGAAGTTCAACATGTTATGGAATCAATTAGAAAAATGTCGGACTCGGTGGTGCTCGAACCCACGACCCGTTGATTCCACAAAATTCTGACCTTTCACGTTATACATGTTGCTATCCTTCAACAGTGTTCGATAAAACCTCAATAACAAGATGCTGTCAAACCAAACTTTGGAAATGCAAGTGGAGGAAACTCCATACGCCCTTCGTCGTCTGTGGAATTTGACCCGAGCCCGTCTAGCTGGTACTTCTACCACCCTTGATGAGCCAGCGTTGGTTGAAACCTTACCCCCAGCTCAGGTAAATATCTCAAACAAATATTTATCTTCATGGTTCAGTGGTAAAACGCTAGCAGCGAAGTTTCCAGAAAATATTGCCTGTGGGTTAAATTTATGTTGAAGCTAAGAAAATCGTTATATCTTTAATTATTTTCAAAAATTTCCATACCTAAAATTTTTTAATAGTCCCTAGTATTCAATGTTGACGTAAAACATTATTTTAAGGAAAACTTCTTTTATTCACAAGTTTATAATTATAATCTTAATAGGTATTTAGCTAGCTTCATTTATGAACCGTCCTAATTTTACTTTTTTACAACGGCCTTGTATTCAATCTTAAATCTTTAACAACAATAAATTAAAAGAAGGTTAATGATACAATCTAATGTCAGTCTAGATTAATAGCTAATGTTACTGGTACAGATTAAAAATTAGTATAATTTGCTCTATGCTAACTAAAATTTTAAGATAAATGTATTCTACATTACGAAGAAGTAATTATTTTAATAATTGTCTTGTAAATAAAACCTTGTTAAAATATTGTTTTGATACAGAACAATTACAATAAATGTTAAACAACTGTTAAGAAATTTACTCAAATACAACAAATTCAAAATACCAAAAATGTTAGTGCTAAAAGAAATAAATTATTTAAATTTATACTCTGTTACGATCTTATTTAATATATGTATCTATATATATATATATATACATATACAAAAATCTGCTAAGTTGGATACCGCAGCAGATTTATGTATATACTTCCGTGGAAGACGAACTCTTAATTCAAGGAAATGTCGATTTCCGTGGATTTAGGTAAAATAGTCTTTATAACTAAATAAATACATATATCACGCATATATAACGTGATATATTCTGTTAAGTAAGGGAAGTTATTAATAATACGTGACGACCAAGTTATTCAAGTGTGAATGAGGAAAATGTGTTTTCAGAATTCAGTTTTTACATATTTTATTTTTATCGTCTTAAGTTTTCGAACGTGAATTGCTATATTTATATTATATGCATTTAGCATTGACGGTTCAGTTACCAAAATTAATGCCTTTACGTCTAAGATAGTATTAGTTTCAAATCCCGGGAAATTATGAAAATATAATATTTTAATTATTTTAATCTATTGAGTAGATACAAACATTGTTAGTTAATGCAAAATACACAACTCCAATATTGACGCTTTATCACAAACAATGCAAAATTTCAACTTAATCTGTTTAGCAATTTTAGCTGGCGCTCGATTTGATGAAAAGTAAATAAAGTGTGAATTTTATTATTTTGCATATGATGGTATTATATAAATGAAAAATTTTAATTATGCAATTGAAGCTTAAAATAATAAATCGAAATATACGATCATGGTATTAAATTAGTGAGAGCTAGATGCATATTTGTAGTACATATTTACATTATATTTAGCACAGGCCGTAAAAGTCAAGGGTTTTTCGCGTCCTTATTTCGGTTTATCGCGAATGTCGATAAACTCTAGAACTATGGAAGGTCAAATTGGTTAACTGTAGCCTTGTATATCTATAGTTAGGTATATAAGCTATGGTAATACAGAAAATTTAACTAGTTTTTATCATTGAGACTTTACAACCCTTACACGGATACACGTCGTTTTTAAGTTCAATATAAAGCAGGTATTTTTACCTTTTAAATTCTTTATTTAAAAGTGTAAGTAGTGTAGATTAATTACTAAACTTTATTTACTATTGAGTCTACAGATTATTTAGAATTTGTAAATATACTAGGTTTTTAACTATCACTTTGCTCACTTATTAAGTAAATTGCCTTGTATTCATTTTTCTTAATATTTTTTATAGGACCCGGAAGTAACCCCAAAACATCCGGTACCAAGTGATTATGAGAGCGATGGCGAGGAGGCTTTCCCCGAATTGGAAGTACAAGTAAGTGGATCTAATATTTATTATATATTAGCGTCTAATTGCATTGTAAATTAAGTTTTATTACAATACTCGTCTGTCAGTACGAGAGTAGTACACATTTATATAAAACACTAACGGTTAAAACGCGATATATATTAGTTAAACTCATTTGAATAATCTCGAGTCTCCTCGTGACCACGGCTGCTGCAAAGCGTCTGAAACGCCAGGCCGTAGTTAAAATCAGTTTAACTAATATAGATCGCGTTTTAAACCATGACCGTGTTTTGTAAATTCTAAAATATTGACAATATGTTGTCCATGTTACCTAACTAGATAAGTAAGATAATGTTAATTAAAAAAAAGTACGGTGAAATGTTATACATCGATATATTCCGTGACAATGTGAAATGATAATCTTAGCCGATCAGCCGATCATTTCTATAGAGTTTTTAACAATGGCCGGAAAGAGTCGCGTGTATGTAATATATACAGCGATGCCCAACGTACTTGGTTCGTTTTCGTTGTAAAGATTGCATTTCTATAACAATTGACAGACGATTACGTGCTTACACACTTACATTACATTTTTTTACCTACACGAAGCATTATCTTAGATAAATCTATATTAATTTCAAATCTCAAAACGCAAAGCAAATATTAGCCAAAAATTGTGGGCTTCTAATTTTTTCATAATTTGATGCAACATCTTATATATCTCTTTTGAAACTAGACTTAAAATTGAACTAAGTGTCGCTCAGGACATAAGTAATTGCTTACTTCGTGTTTACATTTAGGTAGTGTCATTGGTTAATTAAGTAGAGTGTTGACACACCTTTCATTATCTTTGCATCATTCTACGTAATACAACGATAAGATCATTTAAATAAAACACTGTAACGGTTTCAAACGCGATATATATTATTTTGTCTCCCCGTGACAACGGCTGCTGCATAGTTAAAAAAAATCAAATAAGTTTAACTAATATATATCGCGTTTTAAACAGTCAAAGCATTTTATTTAGATAAGATAATTACATCTATATTTTTATCGAGATTCCATTGCACTTACAGTGCTTCACCAATACAAATTTCATTCACGACCAAGGTTGATTGAAGCAAGGTTTCAAGAGTCGTCACCGCGACTCGAAATCTTTTGTTGAAACTGAAACTCAAGGATTTAATTTATTTATATCGCTGTCTCGCTTACCTAACGCAAGTCATTGTTGAAATTCGAAATTTAAAATGTCATAATGTTAACGAGTATATTTTGAAAGCTGCTGTAAGAAGTCTGAATCCAATTTTAATGAAAAATAAAGATATTAAAGTTATCTTAAGACCTAAGATACAGATTCATAAAAATTCTATAAATGTTTCAGTAATATGAAACTATTTGTCGTGAAATTCATAGGTCACCATTCTATTTATAAATCGTTTGGTTTAAGCAAAACGCTGAGAAAACGTTTTCGCGATGTAACAAATTCAGTGCGCATGATACGAAAATAGATCGATCTGAGTTGGACTTTGCTCTCGTCATTCTACAGTCTTCTCAAATTATATTGTTTACTGAAAATTAACTAGTCGGTTTCAATTGCTATCAATTTGGAGTCTACTTGTTATATAAGTCGGTGTTATGTATTACGTAAAAAATATTCGAAGAAATGAGTTTTTAAGAATATGTCTTCACGAAAACAATACTACGCAATTACTATGCTTCACATACCAAATATTATGTCGTCTGAGTCATGCCAACAATATCCAGGTGGAAAAGATTGGCGCCAAGTTTTACTAGGAACAAAACAATATGACTTATCGTCTTCTTGTGCATCGAAGCGGTTGCACGATTGCTTTATTTACCTTTAATAAAATACGCTATGCTCAAAACGGAGTCGTCATGCTTCAAATGTTTTTGTCCTCATTGCGAGTGCTTAGAGACACCTCAGGTTGGATCCCTACTATAATCTGTGGTAATACCAAGTAAGTAAGTTTCGAATGTTTATAGGACCAACATGAAGTACCTACGAAAAGCTACTGGACTGGAAGCGTCTATGATAAAGAAGCAATCCTGGATGCGGGAAGTCTTGGTGATATCCCAGCTGTGTACCGCGTCCCCAAACCAGCAGAGCACCAGATGCCAGTCATTGGAGTATACATTGACCCCAGAGTTAGAACGGGCTTCAGATACAAAATTAGACCAATGCAGGTGAGATAAGATATCCGTTACTACCTCTTGATCTCTGTGGCAATTTGAGGAATCCTTGACTCTATCTGATAGAAGTGTTGATGATTGCACACTGTCAATTAATACGATTAATGCAATCTCCCACACTTCAAAATTTATTGATAAAAATCTTGTTATTGAAATAACTCAACGATTCCTCAATTCTTGATTGTTGCTTAAACATGGTCTCATCGAATCGTTAGTTTATAAATTCAGCTTTTGTTACCATCAATGTGATGTATACGAGTCGAAAGGAAAAACTTTGAAGATCCATATTATCGTGGGGCAAAATTTATTTCGCTGGACTGTAAAAGAAATGGCTGAATAGCAATGAGTTGAGTTTGGACGCAAATATGAAACGGTCATCTTGCAACATGATATCAAATATTAGATGATGTTTCTACGTGATTCTTTCAATTTATTTATCTTTTTGAGTCTTAAAATTGTCACGGCCTGATGTTGTTTGCGGTAGATCCCAACATTTTTGCAAGCTTAGTTTTATTGCAGAACCCAGAGGACGGTGAGTTCTATTTATTCACTACGAACTTACAAAAATGTTTATGAACTTAACGAAAATTTGTTTCATCAGAATTTTGTAACAACTTTGCATTAGTACAATTGATCTTTAAAAAAAAACGCAAATAATTTTCGATAAGATTCATTCAAAGACCGCAAATAACAATATTTGATAAAATAAAATATTTCGTTCTGATATCTTTAGTAAGGTTGTCATCTTTATGCATATAATGTGAAACTTTCTTTTTTATTGTCCATTATTGAATTTCAATTCGCTTCTCAGTGTAGCATTGTTAAGCACATTAGCAAAACAGTGTCTAATGTTTGTAAAACTTACACCGACATTGCAATCTGTACTGGCAACCTTACCATGAATGTTGCTAGATGCTGTATAAACAATATTTTTGATTTATAAACTGTGCACATATTTATTACCTTATTCATAAAAATTAGTGTCACCAAAACTTCTTAATTTCTAATTAACAAATAACAGAAAAAAAACTTATTTTCTGGTGTTCAATTCTCTACCGTAATGAATCTCTTATACATGGATGATTTTTTATGAATAAGATCAAGTCCAAATTCAACTTTAAACGATGGTTCAAGTCAGATTCCACAGTCCAGATCGGGTCCAATTAGATTGATTAGTGGGGTGTAGTGAGTGGCAGTGTCCGTTGCTGAAATTTACAGAATGAAAATATCATCAACGATCAGCACTGTTAACTTGCGAGTTGTTTGCCACTGGTTGTGTGCCGTTGTAGGCGATGGTTTGTGGATCGTCCAGTTTTTCAGAACTACGCCCAGTGAGGCGACAATACGATCTCCAAGCGCAGGCCGAAACCCGACAGGTCGATTATGAAATACTGGCTGACAGCATGTATGCCGACTAGGTAAACCATAAGTATCATTCATAAGGGCTCCATGCCATTGTTTTATTATTCCCCTCACATTTATCATCGAATTACCATAGACAATTCATATGTAACTTCTTTGACTCCAGTAATTTTATGCTAATTTAGACATTTTTGGGAATTCACATTCATTTATTGGGATATTCCTTTTTATTTTTTCGCTAATTTTCGAGTATTCTGATTATTTAATTTGTAATACTTATTTCAAAAAGGGTTGTAATTTTTAATATGGACTTATATTTTAAGTTCTGTTTGATAGTTCTTTTCATCTTCTGTGTATAAATCATGTATTGGATTTTTTTAGGCTTTGGATGCTCCACCGCTATCCGTGAAACCGAGGTACTTGTTTGACGGCAAGGCTTTGACTCTTCAATCTATTGGACGTGGGTTTGCTCGCCGGCTGACATTCGAGCCTCTTGACTCTACACTTAATGACAACAGCAACTACTTTTGGACCGATTCACGCCCTGAAGGATTCGTGTTTGAGATCGAAGCTGTTTCTGTGGGAGACAAATTCACAATTTACGACGCGAACCACGAACCGCAGGGAATTCTAGAAGTCGTCCAGCAACAGGTAAAATACCATACCAAAGCTCACAAGGTTTCCCTGCTTTGAAATATAACCTTTATAAAAAATAAACCTTTTTCTTGTAGAAAAATCAACTAGAGCTCGATCAGAAGATTTATGACGACGGTTCCATCGAGAAGAAAGTTAAAATCAATACCTTATGCAAAGTGGAATGGTATGAGAATGATGGCGCCACAAAATTGGTTCCAGTTACTGGAACTGCTATATTGAAGAAAGGTCGAGGAAATGCTGTTGTAGTAAGGGTTGTTAACGTAGCCATTGGTATCAAACAACTGAAGAAGGGATACGAACTTAAACCCGGCATCAAATCCTCCTCCAGAAGAATAACTGTAAATGGATCAGATATCAATGACATTCCCTGTCAATACAGCGTAGTTGGGCTTGAGAGATATGAACTTCCTGTTATTGGTAAGCACTTAATTTTGGTTTACCATAATTACTCTTATTTAAAAACGCACTTAGATCATACAAATATTCTTATTTGAATACTTTGTAACTTTAACCAATAAAAAGGTAATCAATACAACCAACACGTACTATTTTATCAATACATTGTTTAATTTTGAACTTTTCTTCCAGGAACGTACATTGACCCTCGCATAATTCCTGGATTCCACTACCGAGTGCGTCCAGCAAACACCCGTCGCCATCTATTCGAAGGTCGCAGTCTGCTGCTACAATCTATCGGTTTGGGCTATGGAAAACGCATCACATTCAAGCCAGATTCCCTCAACGCTCCTGACAATTACTTCTGGTCAGACTCCCACCCAGAAGGCCTCGGAATGGAGCCGCGGGCTATTCATCCCAACATGAAATTCGCTATTACAGGAAATGGGGTAAGTAATGAGTGTAATTTATGCCTGGATAGTTGCCAAGTGTATTTTAATACGCATTGATGGACGGGCGCATGGAACAAATTCTTAGTTGTTTACCGCAATGATTTAAGCGCTCGGTCTGCTTTAAATTAATTAATATTTTGCTGAGCATTCCAAAAACTTGGCTATGATTCAAGGATGCTTTCTAATGGTCTGCTCGAATTTTCAGGGTCTTTTGCTAGGAGAGGCGGTCGTGTTCCGGGCTGATCTCCCGCAAGTAGAGGAGAAGACTGAATATGTGGATGTGCCGGGACAAAGGACCAAGGCGGTGGAGAAGTACATCCAGGTCCATGTCACATGCCACGTCAAATTAGCTACAACGGGAGGTGGTTCCGCTGACTCGGAGGTTCACCTGATGAAGGTGTCTGGAGTAGCTCTCGTCCGAAAGGATCCTGGACAAGCTGTGGCCAAGCTCGTTAAATTATACAACGTGGGTCTCGACTCTCAATTGAACCTGCTCTTCGCGCACTCACAGACTGAACTGACATTCCACCCCCTGCCCTAAAATGTCACCAGATTCGAATAGTATTGCAATGCTTTCAATTTTCGTGAGTGTTGTGATCCTAAAAAATCTTACCTGGCGCGACATAGGTTCCGTCACACTAATCGATTTGGTACGAGCTGCAACCGAAGGTCGGAAACACTGTGGCATTTCGGGCAACTACGCTTCAATGAACGATTCTGTGCTCGTACCAGAAAATAGTTGGACCTGCAAAGGTCAACGATAATATAGAACAGCAAAAACTTAAAATTATTGATGGCAACTTTTGAATTTAAAAAAATAATAGTATTATATTTAACATCCGGAGAGAGTAGCTTAAGACTCATTAAATATGAAATTATAATTTCGTTACTTGAAACTCTTTGATTGTATTACGTTCTCGAATTATAAATAAAATTTTGTTTTTAATAAAATGTTGTTTTTTTTTATATGTAAACAGAAATCATTAGATTTTTATATTTTACGTAATTAACATAATTATTAGGTATTACAAATAATATTTAAGTTCAGATAAGAAATTTCAAAAATAAAAAAAATCATAATGGTCGAATGGTTCCTATAAAGAAAAGAAAATGGAGAAAAAAATACTCCATGCAGTTTTAAATATTATTACATTATCAATACAAGTAAATTTAAACTTTAAAACCATAACGTTAGGGGAGAGGTTTCATAAATATAAATATCAGTTGTATAAATACTATAAATTGTAAAAAAAATGAATGAACATTTTTTTTTAATATGTAATTAAATAAGTCGTCTATAGGGTCGTAAAAGAAAGGACGCCGGGACAGCTAGTTATTTATTATATTTTCAAAAAACACTAATTTTTACTGAAATTTATTTAAAAATTATCTTAACTAGATGTTAGCCCGACGTTTCGGATTTAATTGAAAAGTATTTGAATTTAATGTGTACTACTCGCGTGAACTACAGACAGTATTTCGTTATTATATATAATAATTAATACTAAAGAAGGCAGAAAATATACCATTTAAAGAAATATAGCAACTAAATCGAACAGTAAAGAGGAGAATAACCGCCATCTATCGGTACATGTTCACACCATAGCGCTGTCTATAAGTTTTCATTGTATCTAATTCTTATGAACACACTCATTTCAATAATAGACTAAAGATGTCGCTTAGTTCAAAAAACATTTTATGAGTTCACTTCCCTTTACTGCGCTTGCAATGTAGAGTCGAACTTGTTTTGTCTACGCAGTGAAAAGTCGAGCGGGAATACTCGACCGGCGTACGGCGATCGTGCTGGGGGTCTCTGCGCCTGGGCGGCAACATACTTACGAAAACCGCGATGTGCCAAAAAATAACTGTTTCATAGTGAATTGGTGCGATAACTCGATTAACAACACGATAAGATTACGAATAGAACTATGGCCGCGAGAGTTATATACGCGTGTGGTTTATTTTTGTGCATTTTACACAGTGCTCGAAGTTTTAACTTGGAACCGAGGATTCCTGTGATAAAGTTGGGAGAGCCTGGCTCCTACTTTGGATTTTCTGTCGCTGAACACCTCACGATATACGAGAACGAGAGAACTAGTTGGTAAGTAATAATTCTTGTTTTTTAAAACGTAGAGTCGTTATGATGTCATGCGAAGGTCGGAACTTATGCCACATTCTTTTCTATGAATGGCTTAAGTTTACGTGTTTTATATCTCAATATCTACGTGAGGTTACTTATCACAAGTACATTGCCCTTATCAAGCGCGCGAACTGTTTTCATTCAGTATGTTCATTTTATAGACGTTTACCATTTATTTGATAATAACTTAAATTCTTAGGTAGAGCGATTTGTAATTTACGCCAAATAAAATCTATTGAAACACCGTGTTATATTTGTTAATTTGTTTTAACCATGACCCATCGTTTCCGATTCTCTGCGGCAGCCGTGAACAAGTTTTTTGTTTTATTAAAAAATATAAAGTATGTAAAGAGTAGAGTCAATTTATTTTACTTTTTTCTTATCTTTGATCTATATACAATAAGGTATTCTACAGTGGTTTATTGAAATCTTGTTGAGTATAATGACAATATTTATATATTTGGCGCCTAGATGTTGCGAGTGACCTACTAATGATAACTGGTATGAGTAAATGTAGACCAATACATCTGCAGTGAATTTAAGCCAACTAAAAATACTAGTCATTTATGTATACGTACTAGTTTTAGTAGAACTATAACTCAAAATGTTACTAGGTAGAGATTAGATGTTAAAAGGTCTTTAAAATACATTTTTATATTCAACTTTTGTCTTCTCTACAGATAAAATTGAGCAAAAATGCTAGACGAGATTTAGCTATTTGAAACTGAACTAACAATACAACCGTTATTTTACTATGTGAAATTATTACCAGTATATTTCCAGCGCTGATTCACTATTTTAGTACCTGGAGTCTAGACTAGACTAATGCACTTGAAGATAAATCGATGTGATTGCAGTATTTTGGATGACATCCAATTTTTCGTCTTTTAATCTAGCAACATTCAATGTTTGAAGAACTTTCGCTATTTTGTAAAACAGTTAAGTAGGTCTCATTTATATCACTTGGTCTTTACTGAAAAACGAAGAATGTATTTATACAGAATTTGAATTTGATCGAATGTTTACTTTTGTGGCAATGTACGGTTAATAATCGTGTGTTCGAACATTTTTCTAATCAATTTAATTTTTTTCTGAAACATGTTGGTCTTCGTCTGGAAATCTGGATATTAAATGGATGGTAGGAAAATCGAAATTCCGTCTAGGTTAAGGACGACCGTCCACAGATGAAAACCGTGGAGTTTTATCACGTTTCGTTTTGAGTCTGTGGATTTCCGAATATTCAAAGCCAAAATACCAAATAGCCAAAATATTAAATAATATTAGTGCGTGCTTCGTCAGCTAGTACCAAATCATTCCTATTGTTTCGAAATATTATGTCCCACTTTTTACATGTTAATTTTATACAATAACGCCGTAGGTGTAATTGAATATATTAATTTCATTGTTTACACGTGTTTATAAAGACATGTGGGTGTCATATTTTTATTTTTTTCGGCTTCGGTTACTCAAAACACATGTGCAAAACAAAGTTTATCGTTCTGTTTCAAACATTTTTATAGTTCGCGTCTACGTACGATATTTCGTTCAGTGTGGTTGTAATAACCATTATTTTTCACTGTAATGTTGAAAGTTTACGGTGACTATTTGCTATGGTACGTAGGAACGAGGTGTTAGTCTGTTTTTGTATTACACCAAAATGTATTGCGATAATATCTCTCAGAAAATAGCATTTATTACGTCCCTGTCTGACCCTTTAAACTGAACAATTTATATTAAAATCCCGTTTCCCTCAGTGGGACACGGGGCGAACATATTTCTGTGTCCGTTTCAGTGATCGGTTCTTTTATAAGTAGTTAATCAGACTAGGCCTTGCCGGACTGAAACAATCTATTGTGTCCCTAAGATACGAGCCCAAGATCTCTCGCGTTTAACGCAAAGGCAACGCGTTTAACCATTTGTCTACACTGGCGGTAATTTTAGGTAGGTATATTGCTTAAAAATACTAAAATTTAGGAGTTCTTTAGCCTAGACCAGTTTGTCAGTTAAAAATCTGAAAAAAGACACTAACAAATCACTGATCCAGATGTGCAAGAGCGCATTGTATCAAGACAATTAAGTGTTAACATTTTCAATATTTCTATATTCGTTAGAGCTGTCACTAACGAGATATTCTTTCCAATTACTGTGTTCACACGTTCACACACAGCGGGTTGCTTGGATCCTCGTGGAGGTCATCTGAACACCCCTTAATTGGCGTGACAAACTCACTGAACATTGAACACAAAAAATGTATATATGTATGTATGTATGTATGTGTAGCCGCGTGTCATCTAGATTCATTATTTGTTAAAACCGCAGCTCTAATTGAAGTAACGTATAAATAACATCAAAGGGAATTTGTTTTTTTTATGAATTTCAAACGCTACTTTTTGTAGTGTATCTAGTTTTTCTTGTCATCTTCTTTATCTTTGTAGTTTATACGTATGTCTCATGAAATCAATGTTAAGGTGGAAATTACATTGCACGCATGTATGTAAGTTGAAGAAAATTGACGATGACGTGTAGGTAGCTCAGTTGGTTAGAGCACGGAACACTTGGGATACCGGTTCGAGTTTTGCCTGAGTCGTGATTTTTTGAAATTATTATCGATTTTTAATTTATATGTGAAAAAATATTAAAGTTTTCTAACTGGAAACAGAGTGTTATTTAAAGTACGATAATTTTTAATCTCAAACTAACAACATAATAAAATAGACACACATTTTTTAATTGTCTGTCGTCGGTTTTAGTGTTCCCAGGTAAGATGTTCAAATTGTTATATCACTCAGTCTGTATTAATACGATAAAAACCCCTATTTTCGATTGTTAGCGAAACAAAGGAGCATCATTTATTTTTCACTTATATTTAAGTAGATATTGCTTAACTTTTACATTACAGTATGGATGTTGGTTGTAAATGGCTGACATGTAACGTCTTTCAGATTCATTCAATTTGTTTCTTCCATATACCGAAGCATTCACGCCCCGATATTATCACAGTAATAATAAGAATTTACGTTTAAACTTTCGCCGAGATAAGAAAGTAGCAGTTTATCTGGTTTGATGCATCCTTAAGTTCGGTAAACTTTTTTAAACTTCCTTAAAAATGTGTTAATACTTCGTAATTAAGATAGAATATGTTTTCGGGAGTTTCATCTGGTATATTTTTTTTCTATTTTCTTGTTTTTATATAAGACCATCATTTGCTTGTGACACTCGGAAGTAGTGTGTTCGATTTTCGCCCGTGTGTTATTCAATAAAAAAATACTATTATAAATGTTGTCTGTAATTTGCAAAACAATAAGCAACAATGCCCGGGCGTTGTTGAAAATAAATACTTGAATATAGTTTCCGTTTTAAACCGTTTAATTTATTTAACTTCGAAATTATAATTAGTACATGAAGTTTTAACTCAATTGTTATTCGCTTGTAGCCTATAATAAATATAATAATAATCACTTTTACTACGCACTCGATTGTTTTTTTATCTGTATTTTTCGTACCATATTGTATCTAAGGTTAGATAAAATATAAAACCGTGGGTAATTAACAGCCGGTATCTCATTAACTCCCGATCACTTAAGCTTGTCCCAGTTTCAAAACGTCCCGCGACGTAATAATGAGGCTTAATTTATTTTTATTTAAATGTGTGACTCTACTTTATAATGTATTCAAGCTATTTAGTGGTAATTGAAACTTATCGAGCTTTTAATTATCTATCACCAATTAAATAACGTTAGGTTTTTTATGATAGAGGATGACAGACGTCCATGGTTCACTTGATGGAAGCTGAAATAACAGTCATATATAACTGTAAACAAGATGCAATGCCCGCCTATTTTGGCTTTGGATATACAAGAATCCACAGACTGAAACCGACGCGCGATTAAATTTGACGGCTTTTTTATTTGTTTTTTCGAAATTCCGGGTCTTCGGACCCGGTGGTTCGAATTTGGAATTTCTAAAATTATAAATTGTGTAAGGCTTTCACGGCCACCGTTCAGCGTGTCATTGTTTTCTGGGCTTGTTCGGCCGACGTGAGCGAGAAGAGGTTCTCGACGTTTCGCCATCAGGAAATAATTCTTCAAGCAATCGCGGGGCTATCTCGTGATGATGCCGTCCGCTCGTGATGGCTAAACGTCGAGAACCTTTTCTCGCTCACGTCGGCCGAACAGCCCGAAAAACAATGATTTTCGAAAACTATACTATTCTGAATTATCTCGTCCATTCTAAATGACATAGCCGAAGTATAGTTAAGTATTTAAATAAAACACTTTAACGGTTTAAAACGCGATATATTAGTTAAATTTATTTGGAAATGATTTTACATCTTAAGTACATTTAAACGTATAATTTAATGTAACTCAGTAAATACTGTAACGCCCACAACTCGTCCACGATCGGACCGACAACCGTGGCAGTTATCTCCTAGATAATTTTATGAAGGCTCTATAACTATAGGGCTGGAAATGAACAGGATAATAATATATTTATTGCATATGAAGATGTACAATTTAATGATAATACTTGGAATGTTATTTCTTCTTTTAGTTCTATAAACATGTTTTATTACCCTAGAAGTAACATTCTTATTTGTTTCTATCACCTTAGCATTTAAAAACACAATATAACTTGTGTAAAGCATGATGTAGACATATTCAAGTATCTTAATTCATGGTCTCGTTTTTGTGCTTTGCTTTGCTAAAATATGTGTCTTTGAATTTCAAGCAACGCTATAGAAAACTAGGCAATATTTGATTGTTTTAAAAATGATAACTTCTATTTTTTTTTTCTTTACTTTAGGTTGCCTAGCAGGGATCGCTACTTAGCGATGAGGCTGCCTTTTATTTATAAGTTAGTATGTAAGATTTCTCTCATTAATATGTATTTTCTGCGGTGTGTTTTATAAATAATAAAGTAATAATAAATAAATGAAACTTATACTTTGATGCGAAGTTCTCAAAAAAAAGGACTGATATTATGTTAGATTCGTATAACACTAACTTAGTGCTAAAATCGATGAGAATCTCGACCACCATTTTGAAAATCGTTCTCATTTTGATTTATAACTGTAAAGTTTTAAAAGAAGAATTTGTTAGGTGCCTGTTTAAAACAGCCATTCCAATGTTAAATGAAGAGAAAATCCAAGCCGTGGAATATATAAAGGGATTACTTTCAAATGGTTCAAGAGCAGAGAATCACAGCAAAGGCCGTCCGCCCACATGCCGTGTGGGACTCTCAACCAGTCCTGACCACAATGAACTATATCAACCGGTAACACGACACTCGATATTTATTCTAATTACTCTAGCGGTAGCGGGAATGTGCAATGTCAACCATAGATTATAAACAATATTAGTTAGTTGGGCTATAGTCTATAGTCTGTCCATAGATACAAAATTGTCATGCTTTCACATTTATTGCCATATCAAAATGGTATTAAACTATCTCGTTTAAATTTCAAATTATTAGTTTTTGGTCTCTCTCTGGTTAAAAGTTACTACTTTAGTTAGCTGTAGTTTAAAAAGTGTATATATTTATTTTGTATGTCACTAAGCCCAAATAAGCAGGTCAACATAAAAGCTATTTATCAAAGCAGGTCAATGTATTCTAAAGCGTTAAAGCTCGAACAATAGCTTATAAGCCCAGAATGCACTTAATTTGCACACCCATTGGCCGTTTCATAAATCAATCGCGTATTGACGCACAATTATTACATCGTTTATATCCATGTTATATTCTCACGAGACTCCATTATGTATATTGGTGTTAATATCCTTATTGCTTATTGTCCGTTTCATAAGGATCTGATTATTTGTTGCTTGTACACACAACGGGATTTAATTTAAAGATCCATGAGCTTTCTAAATTCATTAACTTTAAAACTTATAATTTTAAAACAATTCAGATTTTCAACAAAGAAAATTTTACCTATCAACTGTGCGTTAAGCGCGATTGGTCCTCCGTTCGAATGCTGAAGAAACACCCTTTTGATTGAGCATGCGTACGCGCCGAACAACTTGACTATTATAGTTTCTCAATATTGTGAATCTTTAACTGCATACGTTGTTTTCTGCAATTCTCCACATTTTTAACAACGTGAGCTAGAAACATATACAATGCAATGTATAACTCGATTATACTTAGATGTCAAAAATAATATATTCTATCAATATTTTTAAAAGGTCTGAATGGTTGACTGGTGGGTGAATATCATATTATCGGAGTAACCTAATTCGCACAACATCTGCCCTAAACGAGAGATAACTGTTATCCGTGTTGTTTTTTATCTCTTAAATTGCTCTAATATGTAAAACATTTTATAAAAATACATATGTGTAAAAGTCTAATAACGAATTAAAAAGTGATTATTTATGGGTGTAACTTAACTCCCTTAACCACGTTAAAATAGGGCTTAAATCAGTCAGAACTTGTTTTGTCGCAGCATTAAAACACGTGTAGACAGAATAGAACGATTAATTACGTGTTTTTTTATTGTTTTCAAGCGATTAAAAACAGCATGAGCCGAAAATTTGAATAAAGAATGTCTTTCAAATGTTGTGCAACAAGAAAAGTTTAAAATTTTCGGTCCACCGCACTCGCTTCGAACATGCGCCGTTGTTTTTTGTGGCGCGTCTTTACGCGGTTGAATTTTATTTCTTTTTGTTGTGGTCCCAGCCTTGTACGGGTTGCAGCCTTCGTTCGTGAGCGCAAGGTCACAAATATATTCTCCCAATGTCGATTGTCCGGTGTTTTCAATACGGAATAGTGAATAGGCGAACGCAAATCGAATATTGCTTATATTATTCGTCTGCATTTTCGATATCTTTTGAATTTAGAACGTAAAAAGAGGACACTTGTTTTAAATTTGATTTTAGAAGCAACAACAGGTCCGGCTTTCTTGTCTAAGCTCTAATTGTAAAACCTCTCATTAAACCTTCAGAAAAATGTTTTAAGTTGTTCGAAGTTGAAAACTTAACAACATTATTAAAGCCAGGTTACCGCAAGAGACGCGCCCCAGTTATCTCGCGCTCAGATAAATAGTGATAATCCTGGTGATATCATATTTGGCGACGCTGCTGCCCTCTGTTTGATTAAGGCTTACGGAATGACGCACGTCTACTTGAATGACAACAGGATGCCTGCACACCAAGTTTTGTTGTGCTTATCATATATTTATTTGTCTAATAAACCGCATAACTGTTTGTTCCGCTTATTGAATCTAAGGATTTTCCCTAACGCTGATTTTGACTACGGTATGACTAGTAAAGCTAAAAATATACATGACTGTGCTTCTCAAAATTGAAGTCGGAACTAAAGCTTTAAAATGTTTCTAGTATTAATGATTCATCGATTATTCGAAGCCTCTTAAATAAAACGAGAGAAAAAAGTCCGTCAAAAGACTGTTTCACAGCGATAGTTACACAATCCTTATCCCTATTATAATAGTCTTCTTGTCTGTATTGTCCGTTATCTTCTCAAATATGACAAAGATGGTCGCAAAGTACACATTTAAAGGCGATTTAGCTAAGCTCAGACACGATGTAATATTTTCTCTCAAATGAGCCGAGTTCCCAGGGCATTGTCGGGCCGCCATTTATGGATCTTCGTATACAGGCGGCGTAAATAACTCGGGTGCTTTATTAAGAATTCACGAAATTTTATGTCTTAATTATTTTTAATGACATGATAAGTACGACCGGAACGCCATGCTTTTTAAACGCTATATACTTAATACATTCTAAAAAGCCATATGCACTCAAATACTATTGTCTGTTTGCGTGAGTAGTATGTTATATTAAACACATTTTGCGGTTTAAATCACGACATATATCAGTTAACACCGGTTACCTCCGTCCCCATGGTAACAAAGCGTCCGAAACTTCAATGTACAGTTAAAAATAAGTTAACTAAGATATTGCGGGTTTTAAACGGTTTTTATTAATATTTAATACATTGAAAAATGTTACTTGTCTCGTTTTTCTTAAAAATTTGAAATTTTTGCCTCAAAAGTATGCAGGAAGTTTTTTTGTAGTATTTTAGTTAAGATTGTTTATATATTTTCCTACTCATTTGCCGCGTTCAGATTACGCCCTCAGTGCACATAATAACAGTTTCAAAAATCCTTCTATGTATTCCAATTGTTGCCACTTTTGTCCATTTATTACTGAGTTCGATGCAGCCTCCTGTACCAATACTGATGGCGATGCATTCCTTCTAATTGGATGTCTTGCGGTCCTGCCCTTTATGGTGTGGCCCCGCCGGCGTTTCTGACCACTTTCGCTACTCATTTTTATCCATTAATTAGTATAAATTAAACTATTACGCCAGACACGACAATGTAAGGAAAAAATGAATTGAAAAGGTTTTTTTTTATTTTCAAAGGTACACAAGGGATTATATTTAAATAAGATGGTATTTAAGAAGAAAAAGAAATAATTAATTAGGCTGTACTCTCTTTCTTACCAGAGATAACATGTCTGTAGTGTTGTACGTAGACACTCGTAATAGATTTATATAAAATATTATCTAATTCTCAACAATTTAAATTCCATTCGCGTTAACTTATACAATGTTATACATAACTACTTATTTTAAGATTACAAATTGTATTTTAATGTAAAAACATTACGTGATCAATCGCTTTATTATTGGGTATCTAGACTAGTGTGAATTAAAAAAAACAATTTTAACGGTTTAAAACGTTAAATGTATTATATATAATATACAATTCAATCAATATTATTATATAAATCAATTTTAATTGTGTAGGTACAGTTATTGATAAATTATTTTATCTGGATGTTTTGCAGCAGTCGTGTTCGGGGGGGGTGTCAACGTGACTAGTTTAATTATTTATTTGCGTATGAATTAAGAGTTAATTCATTTATAAAATTGTGTCTTTTGAAGAAACAGACTTCATATCAATTATTCGTTTTTATACTGTTTAAATCGAAACATAACTTTTTTAGTTACTATAGTACCTAAATAGTAACTTTTACAACAATTTACGCCGTTTTCTATTCAAACCTGCGTATACACCCTGTTTGGCGAAGTTACGAAGTGTGAGCCTATTGTATAAGGCTCTGGTTATGGTAACTACTTGCCTGTGGCGATGATCACTTACTGCACATTTTTTAAATAATGTTAAGACGTTTTAGATATGCATAGTAATTTTGTTTCAAAAGTGTCCAGAATTTTTTAAATAATCAAATGTATAACTTAAGACTAAGATTCACTCTACTAAGTACAATGTAGCGATGGATCAAATTCTTTATGATAGAAAAGAACAGACAAACATGGATTTACTTGAAAGTAGGTAACGTACTTCAGCCATATAACATCTAAATAAGATGCAGTATTGAAATACATAGACTAAAACCGACCATCGCGCTGTAGTTAAAATAAATTGTATATTACACTGTCAGTAGTATACGCGAGTAGTACACATGAAAAAAAATTACTTTATCGGTTTAAAACACGATATATATTAGTTAAACCTATTTGGAACGTTGGGCCGTTGTTAACATAATTTTAAATAAGTTTAAAATTAATATATCGTACGTTTTAAACCGTTAAAGTGTTTTATTAAAATGTAATATATTATATAAGCAATCTTTACATTTCGAGTTTTAAACTGTTAAAGGCGTTTTATTTAAAGTCTGTCGTGTCTCCATCTTGTCCCAGAGGTGTCACTTTTAATATTGACTACTGTTTAGGATCTTTGTTTAATAGAGCGTATGTAAAATACTAATACGTAATTCTTTACGTCGTCACATCATTATCGATTCACCATTAAAATGTAAATGTTGAGCTTTCGACGTAAAAGGTGTCCGAGTTCCGAGAAATGCTTACAAAACTAACAGCTATCGCAGGTAAATCTGACTCCCAACGAGATTCCAAAGGATCCCTTACCTTACACGCTAAGGTAACAAGTTATTATTATTAGTATGCGTATTTGTAACTATTGTTTTTTTTATTTAATGAAGCTCTTAAATTAAACTATACAATATAAATTAAAATATAAGAAGCACATTTAAAAAATATCGTAAGATTGCAGATTTTTTTTTTAATTAGAGGACAGCCACGCATGACATCACTTGACGATAGGTAAAATACCCCAGATTCCAAACAAAATGCACTGTCGACCTATGTTGGCTTTGGATATTCGGAAATCCATGAAAGCGAAACCTAATTAAACTTCACGGCTTTATCATCTGTGGACGGTGGTTCGTGATCCGGACGGAATTTCGAAATCACCCATTGAATACCCAGATGAAGTCCAACATAATTCAGAAAAATTATACATTGATTAGAAAAATGTTGGACCCGATAACGATCGAATCTACGACCCGTTAATTATTAACATTACAAACATTACACAAACGAGCCCGCTAAAACAAGAACAAGAAACGTCGGGCAGAAGTTAAAAATCATTTTCAAATAAGTTTAACTAATATATCGCGTTTTAAACCGTTAAAGTGTTTTATTTAAAAGAACAAGAATAATTTCTTGTTCTTGTTTTAAAACTTTCGATGTACATGTACAAGCGACAGCGTAAGTATTCGAATTTTGAATTTAAACGATGATAACGAATCATTAACAATTAAAATACATTTTGTATATGTATTTTTGGAATAAAGATCAAAGTTATTAAATTCGTTTGACCTGCGCTCTTAAACTTTGGATTACATAAAGTATTTTATTATTTATTTATATTTATAAATTTAACATTGTATCGCCATCTATATACATTACACGTGTGACGTAAACGTTTTGATTTAACGTGTTTTAAAAAGTTAAAACTGATAATTTAAGATACAAACAAGAATCAAATCACTTTAATAATTTTGAGGTCAAACGTGTTGATAGATTTGATAGATGACTCCATCGTATTATCTTAACCATGATAAATACTTATGGGGTCACGATTGAGTTTTGGTTTATTTACTTTATTTAAGCATTTAGATTTTTAGTACGCGTGTAGCATTAGTCGAGTGGTCAATGACTTGCATTTGATTTAGGATTGATATTAGTTTAATATGACAAACAAGCACTGGCGTTAACTAGGTGGTGTAAAAGGAGGTTCCAAACAAAGTCTCCATCTAAAAGTTGAAAATTTTTCCATCTTGTTGGAATCAAACCCACGACCCGTGGATTATCCGCCGTAGTACCATTGGACCACCGAGCTCGTGAATTGTTTAAAATGCATATTTCTCACGAGACTCTTCGTTACGTTATGAGATACGCTATGTCCGGTGAAGTATGCGTACGCGCATGGAAATATCAACATGGCTAAGAACGATATCAAGTTATCAGTCAGATACTGTTAATATTGATTCAGATTTCAATGCTAATCTTGAATTTCATAAGAATATTTATTCAGCTTTTAAGCGAAAACTACGCCATACATAGCTACTAATGGACCAAAAATATTTTTAAAACATGTTAGATTTGAATAAAAAAAGAGATAGTAGGAATAACCGAGTTTCAAATTTGAGATTACTCGAGGTATAGAGTACTTAGTGGATTCTACAGTTGATGTTAAAAGAAATGTGAATACAGTTACCTTCTAAAGATCGATTTCTTTATGCCCCAGCATATGTGGTAACAGTACATTACATGATACGAGAATTCTCCCAAAGGATTTTCTAACACGTTCGAGCAACTTCAAAAATCCTCGCTTGGGCTCCCGTACAATAAAATTAATATTCCTAGTATAGGCTATTACTAGACAAAATATCAATGACGTCACTTCAAATACTTTGAACTCGTGCAAAGCGTCACTTCCTTCGTTAATACTTTGGACTCGTGCAAACATAACGAATAACAGTTGACTTAGTTAATTTTAATCCAATGAATAACGAGGATATTTCCTCATGATGATAACCGTTTAAGGAGATGAATCACTGTAATAAATGAGTCAGTGATTTGATATATCATCTGTGCTGTCTTATTTTACAAGAATATTAAAAAACGACTTTTAAACTTAAAAAAATACTGTCAGATGCATTACCTTACAGTAGTCCAAGACAGTGTCGGGCAGTAAAGAAACAGGTCTATTACGAATTCTAATTTTAAAACTATTTTATTTAATTTTTACCCTCGAGTTAATTAAAAATATAATAGCTAAGTTGGTTAGAGCAAAAGCACGGAACGCTGTGGATGGCGTTTCAAGTCCTGCCTGTCGAATTATTATCCTATAATCGATTTTTAATTTAAACAGTGCAATCTTGTGCAATATAAAAGCTTTCAAATATATGGAGTAATCAGCCTGTGAAACGGACACAGAATGATGTCTGCCTGCCCCTTGCAAAACACTCTGTACTCGCAAATTTGTTATTGTACAGCTGCGTAAGTGACCACTCGTGTTATTGACCAATACAATATTTCAGTGTGCATTGTGCTTGCTGACATCTGGACAAATGATCATATTTCTAATGCACTTCGCCATTGTCGACAGCGGAACGCTCGTTCTATAAGTGCCGTTTGTGTATTATATATATATAATTTAATGAGTACTGAATTACCTAAAATTTATTAATATAGCGAAAACAATGAATGCTGCATTATTTTTATGTCAAAAAGCTTTTTAAAAGTTTTTTTTAATTTTCATAATGAACATGCAGAACTTGGTTATGATGTTTATAATTAGAAAAAAAAATATAATATATAATGCCCAATGTTGACCGTTTCTTCTAGTCCCCACGAGTAGGTACCCATGAGTACTGTAAGTAAACAGATTTCACTCTTATTTAATGGGTAAGGGGGTAAATACTTAGCCATATACCGTCTAAACAAGATTCGCTGTCGACATTTTTTCACCTTTAAATAAAACACTTTAACGGTTTAAAACGCGATATAATATGTTAAACCTATTTGAAACGTGGTCACGGGGAGGCGGCACACAGCTGTTACAAAGCATTCGAAACGTCGGGTAGTAGTTAAAACTAATATATACCGCGTTTTAAACCGTTCAAGTGTCTTATTTGAATGTTTACTAGACGCGTCAACACACAGACACGTTTAGACAGTACTTTTTCACCTGTGGATTGTGAACTGTGATCCATACTTTCCAAAATTCGTATCACGCATATGCGAGTAATATTCAGATTTTCCACGAAGCATACAGTGTTTCAGAAAAAGCATAAAAATATTCTATTAGAATATCAGACTGATATAAGCCATCAATAAAGCAATACTTAATTAAACATTCCCATAAAAACATGGTCCCGTCAAGAGCAATACAAAAATCATCAAGATTATTAAACGGACTTTGAAGATTCAATTA